CTCCCCTCCCCTCCCCTCCCCTTCCCTTCCCTTTCCTTTCCTTTCCTCCAGATTTTATTCTCAACTCTTCACTCAGTAAATATTTACTTCATCTCTACCAGTCTCAGAATGCTCTGTTCTCCTTCCCTTCTCTCACTTTAGTTTTATGATCATCCTGAACCGCTGTTTTCCCATCTTCATGGTGCTGGCATGGATCTACTCGGTCTCCATGACTGTTAAGGGCATTGTCTTGGAAAAAGAACTGAGGCTGAAGGAGACCTTGAAAAACCAGGGTGTCTCTAATGCTGTGATTTGGTGTACCTGGTTCCTGGACAGCTTCTCCATCATGTCAATGAGCATCTTCCTCCTGACACTGTTCATCATGGTAAGACCGGTGGAGAAGACCGTGACATTTTAAAAATGGTTCTGTTGTTCCTGCCCTCCTCCAGTTAATGTGTGTGTGTGTGTGTGTGTGTGTGTGTGTGTGTGTGTGTGTGTGTGCCTGGACAGGTTATCTGAGCAAGACAGGTAGCTTCCCAGCTTTTCCAACCAGATAGGAAACTTGGAAAGTCAGTTTCCCATTCCCCCCAAAAGGGCCATTGTATGGTGGCATCTTCCCATCTTCCTCTTCTCGCCTAAGGGAGTCACTCACTGCCTATATAGATTTCCAGTCCATTTCATGACCACTTAGAGAGGCTGCTGTTACCAAAGCCCAGTATGGGACTGTTGTGTCTTCAAACGTTGCTTCTTCTTTCAAAGGCATGAGTCTAAAGAGGGTTTCTTAGAATTGCTGTTCCAATATCTGGCTACAGTTAGAATGAGACAAACACTGCCAGTGGTATGAGGGGGAAAATGTGGATAATTTGTCTATCGTCCCCATGGCCAGGCCATTAGCTTCACCAAGTAACATCCTTCTGCCAGCAAATATCTCCCAGGACTCTGTTTTAAAGGATGGAATTTGGAGCCCGACCTTTCTCAGTGATAAGGAGTTTTTATTGCCATAAAGCATGTCATCCTATCTTCTGCAAGTCTGCGACTCCTCTGCAAGCTAGAACTGAAAATAAAACACTGTTCTACAATATACTGCTAGCCTGTATATTTCATATTTTCAGCTCCTCCATAGAAGAAGACTTTTTTGGGCTTGTTGAAATATGACTACACACATTTGATAATTTTTGATGTGTTGTTGGATGGAAGTTGCTTCCTGCTGTAGGTTCAGCAAGCTTGCTCAACTTCGTCGCTGTCATCATATGGGGCGACACTGCAGTGGGCCGGACTGGATGAGTGTCTCCCATCCCATGTTGGATCGTGGCTACCTGACCTAAGAATGTCCCATCATAGATCCAACCCACCAGGACATATTCATTTAATCCAAATCCTGCCTTTGTTCTCTACTAAAATATCCTCCACCTGGTGCATTCTATCTTTGCTATTACACTATGACCCAGTGAGCTAAATGGTGTGAATCAAACCCCATGTTAGAGTCCCCTCAAAACCAAAGTTGAGGTGGAGGTCATTCTCTTCAAACGACCTCACCCCACCCAGCATGGCTTGATGTCTACAAAGGATAGCAAAGTTCTGAGGAGGTGAGAGGAGCAGCCACTCGTTCCTTATCCACCAGAGGCCCTCTGCTCTGCCCCATACCTTAGTCTGTCCCTTTCCCCTGTAGATGTTTTGTATCCTTAGAATTAAAGGACTCTGTGAGTAAACATCTGGATGAATGGCGGAGGCTTGCCCTGACTTCTTACTGATAAGTGACACTGAGATCTGCCTTCCTAAGAATGGGTGTTTAGGACTTCAAAGCTCTCAGGACGTGAGGTAAAGAATGTTCACCCAGAGCTTCTAGCCCAGAGCAGCTCCTCCTTGTGGGAACCAGGACACCGTTCCAATAAGGACGGAAACAGAACTTTCCACACCAAAATAAGGTTTTCCTTTGAATGAGTCCCCGTTTTTTGCATATCCCTTCCTCCCCAGCACCGCGGGGCAGGAAAGAAGCTGGGAGCAGGGACCCTGGGAAGGCTCCATTGTTAGTCAGAGGACAAGGAGCAGAGAGGAAAGGCTGGTGGAGGAAGCTGGGTCGGGAACGGCTGGCTGAGTGACTGGCACCCCTGTTTGAAAACCACCACAGTCTAGATGTTTGCAGGACTTTGCTCTGTGCTCAGATCAGAAGTTGAATTCCTTCTACAGAGAGCAGTAACAACTCTCCAATTGTGACCTTTTTTTTTTTTAGATTTCCTCAGACTTAGGTTCGCTTTAAGTGTGGCTCCTGTCCATTCCTCCCTTCTGCATATCTTCCCCTCATCTCTTTTTCAGTCTGTTCCTTCAATGCCCAACAGGCACGAGAGCATGAAGGAGAAATGGCCTCTGTGGGAGATAAGGAGCACATTAGTTCCACTTGGTTCTCACCGGCTCAGGGCAGAGAGCATTAATCGGTCTCTCTCTTTTCTACTGAGAGGAAAGCAGTGACTCTGGGAGTCCCTCTCTGTAGATGAGAGCCCATTCATGAGATGGGGCAGTTCTAAAAGATGGAAGAACACGGAGGAAAACGCAGGAAGGAGGAGAGCACAAGGACTTTTGGTCTTGGGGGTGCTGTGCTGTGTGACACGTCTGTGTTCCTCATCACACCACAACTCAACTATGTCCCACTGAATAGACGGAGGTGGCCAAGTAAGTGTCAACTCAAGCCTAAGACACACTCCCAGAATTCTGCCGCCTGTACCTTTGTGTTCCTGAGAGAACAGGAGGAACTCTATGTATCTGGGAATGCAGAATTTGGATGGAGCAACGATGCTGGCCTCTTTACAGGGCTCGTAGTACAGGAGATGAAGAAGGTCTAACACAGTTGAACATCTCGGTCTATCCTACAGTGTAATCGGGCAGCAGCTTGTGCAGAAAAAGTCACTAGGTTGTCACTTTTTTCTACATAGACACTGGGGAAGACACTGAGTCTTGTCCATAGGTTCTCCGAAAAGCACAGCCTTCATGGATGAGGAGGACCAGTCTGCTTCCAAAGGCTCTGGATCCATTACTGATGCCTCCACCTGTGTGAGCGGCAGACCTCAGGAAGCAGGCGCTGATGGTCAGGCAGCAGGCCGAGCCCCAGGCGAAGGGCCAGGCTTGTTTGACTTCCCTTGTGTGGTTGCGGGGTGCTGGTGATAGCGTAAGACCTAACACCCAGGTCTTCCATGCCTGAACACAAAGTCCTTCCCACCGTGAACTTGCTGAGTCGACCCATAATTACTGTCAAAGGATAAACTTGGGCACGTTAAGATTTTTTAATATTTTCATGCTTTGACAGTTTCATACATTTCTACAACATGTATTGATAATATCCATCTACTTCTACCTGCCTGCACCCCTCCTCAGTGCACCCCATGTCCCTCCCAGCTTCATGTCCTCTTCTCTTTTTTACCTTACTTTTATGTAATATTCCTGAGTCTACTTAGTGATACCTATATGCACATGGATGTGTAAACATCCACTGGGACATGAACGACCCACCGGCAGCCAGATCCCCAAAGGACAGTGACTGACCTCTCGGTATCCCTCGCTGCCGAAAGCTCTTCTGATGGGGTGGGCCCTCTGGGTCCCTTGGCCACCCATGCTGGAACGTTGACGGTCTCGGTCTTGTGTAGGGATCCACAGCCCCTGTGTGGTAATATGTGCAACAGCCTCATCATCTCCAGAAGACACTCTACCATTCTGTCCATCGGCCAACTCTTCCATTCCTCACATCCCCTCAGCCATGAAGTCCCCTGAGCCTGGGACAGTGGGGGGTTGGTACACGACCCACCCACAGCTGAGCACTCAGAGTTATTTATGCTTGGCACATTGACCAGTTATGAGTCTCTGCATTAGCCACTTACCCACAGCAAAGGAAGCCTCTCAGACCAAAGCCGAGGGCAACACAAATCTATGGCTACAAACATAAGTATTTCAAACACAGTTTGATAAAAAATGACCTCGTATGAAAATGATAGTAGGTTCTTACCCTAGGGCCTATCATCACCCCATCATGGGCTTTTGACCAGTTTTATAGTGCCAAGCATCAGTGGTTCGTGACCCAGGCAACTCTAGGCCACAAGTGGCTCAGGACTCCACTAAAGGAATGGGGAATTCCACATGACAAAGAAAGTTTCGATTGATTAAGTCCCCACTTAGAGGGTAGTTGGCAGTTGCTGACTGGATTAAATTACTTGGCGGTTGGGTTTTGGTTTACTGGTTTAGGAGTCCAGAACACTGGAGCTGACTCAGCCTAATGGTTTCCCAGCTAAGTTTTTTAAAATAAAACATTAGTGTTGCCTGATGGGTATGGGCAAGACAAAAGAACTCGGTGTGTTTGAGTGTGCGCGTGCGGAAATTCAAACACTAGCAACCGGCTGTGGGAGCCCCTTCTTGGGCAGCAGAAGGCTTCCGAAGGCCTCGTTGCACACAGGAGGCCCCTTGAGTGGGCCCCCACGCCTCTGGACAGGAGTGAGAATTATTGATACCTAATCTCTTTGGTTTCAGCATGGGAGAATCCTGCACTACAGCGACCCCTTCATCCTCTTCCTGTTTCTGCTGGCCTTCTCCACGGCCACGATCATGCAGTGCTTCCTGCTCAGTACGTTCTTCTCCAAGGCCAGCCTCGCAGCAGCCTGCAGCGGGGTCATCTACTTCACCCTCTACCTCCCACACGTTCTCTGCTTTGCCTGGCAGGACCGGCTGACGGCCGACCTGAAGACGGTTGTGGTGAGGCCCGAGGGCTTACCCCTAGCCTGTCCTGTAGATTTCCTCTGACGACTCTGGTGCCCTCTTGGCCTGCTCTCTGAGAAGGTCTGCTTTGCCTTTGGACTCGAGAGGACCTAAGGTTGAAAGGCTAATACAAAGGTTGGGAGCCAGAGTGAAAGCAGCTTCCCCCGGAGCCATGAAGTAGTAACACCTCCCTAGACCTGCCTGAGGAATGTGCCCTGGGAAAGGACTGGAGAAGCAGGTCAGCTCCTGGCTTCCTTTGCTTCTGTGTGAGAGGAGAGCCAGCCAGCCCATCCCTTCACCCTTCTTTTCTTCCTGCTTGAGGAGAATCAGATGAGAGGAAGCTTGCCCCACCCCCCGACTGCCTGTCCGCTCAGAAAGAAGGTTGCATCCGCTAAAATGGGGCTCGTTTTCCCAAAAGAAACTAGACCAGAGAATCTCAGTCTTTCCTGTGCTCTAACAGTGCGCACAGAATTGGATGCAGAAATGAGCCCCCGCCGTGAGGCTGTCTGGCTGAGAGAAGACTCTAGAAGCTGGCTGTTGATGCCTTGAGAGACCTAGTTCAGGATTCCCAAATAAATATAGGTCTGTTTTCTAATGGTTTTCGAGTGGGCCATTTCTACCCTCTCATTAGCCAGTGCTAATCAGCCTCAGCCCTACAGGGTGCAGTTTTCTGGCCCTCCAGAATCGCCCTGTCTGTTACGTCAGTAAGGACTACTGCCTGCCTCTGTGCTGGCAGAACCTGTTCTCAGGACTCCAACTCTGGGGCATCTGCCTTTTATTATTTCTCATGTTAAATAAGAAGTTAATTGCCCCTATTTATAGCACTTAGTTTTCTAAGATGATCACAATGGGTAATGGTAAGAAACTCGTGTGACTCAGGCTGTGGGCAGAGCTGGGCAATTTTGGTAATCGTCAGGTTGTTATGTGGTCCTGGGAAACCACAGTTAGCTTCTGGGACCTACCAGGAAGCTTCAGGTCTGGCAACTACAGATAAGAGCTGGGTTGAGTTAAATTTAAGTGTGTGTGTGTGTGTGTGTGTGTGTGTGTGTGTGTGTGTGTGTGTGTGTACATATAGCAAGAGGGTTTCTTGCTTTGGTGAGAGATAGTCTGAACTCTATCCAGGGTCCTCCCTAAATTACAGGGAACCTTCTGGCAAGGGCAAGTATGCTCTGATGTGTCAGAGGCCACCCGTGGTGACTTGGCGGGGCACTCTCTCTTCAGATTTCCTGCTGCACTCTTTCTGGCCAGCGGACTACTTTCTGCACAGACCTGAGAGGACCTTGCGTCCTTGCGGGCCATAGGAAATGGGGACTTTGAACCCCTTTCTTGCGGGAGTCTCACAAAGTAGCTCATTTGACATCTCCGTTCTGCCAAGAGCTGTGTAGTTTTCAGATAGTGGAAGGCAGAGGGGGAGGGAGGAGGGAGACCAGGAGGACCTTCATTCCTTCGGAGTCTTGTATGTGGACCACTTCTTCACCAGCATCCCCTTACAGCCTATCTGTATTCTATGGAACAGGTGAGAGGTGGCTCACAAGGCACAGGTGGGGATTTCTGAAGCCTGCCAAGCATTTCCAGAATCCTCTTCCCACCAGAAGACCCCTGTAAGCCCTCCCTGAGTAGCCTCACTCTCAGACACAACACAGACCCTCTTCGGCCCTTTTCCCTCCCCCGCCTTGTGGACCCCTGGGCTCCACCGTCCTCTCCCTCCATTGCTATCCCTCTCCGCTCACTGCAGAGTCTGCTTTCTCCCGTGGCCTTTGGCTTTGGCACCGAGTACCTGGTCCGCTTCGAGGAGCAAGGCCTGGGGCTGCAGTGGGACAACATCGGGAAGAGTCCCATGGAAGGGGATGAGTTCAGCTTCCTGCTGTCCATGGAGATGATGCTTCTCGATGCCGCTCTGTACGGGTTGCTTGCCTGGTACCTTGACCAGGTTTTCCCAGGTAAGCAAGGAAAAGTCAGGCTGCTTCATGTTCCATGGTCCAGGGAATGCATTTCTTCAGATGCAGAGGTCTGGCCCAATCTTCTTGTTTAAGCTTGATCCCACCGCCACACACACACACACACACACACACACACACACACACTGTTTGAACATAAGCTCTCAGGGCCAGCAGCTGAAGGTACATCTAGAAGTTAAAACTCCACCAGCCAATTATTGTCTCCCCTTTAGAAATAGGTCTAGCATTGGAGCTGGGGAGAAGGCTCGGCAGGTAAAAGTACTCTCTGTGCGAGCATGAGGACCTGAGTTCGAATCCCCATAACCCACATAAAAGTTGGGCGTGTCTGCAAGTGACTGTAACCCTAGCATTGGGAAATGGAGACAAGTGGATCCCAGGAACTCTTTAGCCAGCCACCCTGGTCAGAGCAGCAAGCTTCCAGGTCAGCAAGTGATCCTGCCTCAAAGGACTCAGGTGTGGAGTCATAAAGAAAGGCAGCTTCTCTGGCCTCTGCATACATGCTCATGAGTGTGCATACCCACACACACGTGTGTGTTCACCATACACTTGTATGCACGTGCGTGTGTACAGGCACAAACACAGGCAGAGACAGGCAGGGAGAGAGGAGACCAGGAAACAGGTCTAGAACGGGCTTCCTGGTCACCACCGATCCACCTTCCCATTCCAGGCCTCCTTCCACCATGACCACCAAGTCCTCACAGTATGCAGATGGAGTGTTTTGCAATCCCACCATGACTGCCTGCCACCGTGTCCTCCTACAGTAGGCAGATGGTGTGTTTTGCAATCTAGGCCAGATGGTCTCAACCTCTGTTCAATCCCTTCATGGTCCTTTCCCCTCATTCAGAGTAAAACCCAGCATCCCATCTCAGGCCTACCAATGCTTCCTCATCCGCCTTTCTGCTGCCCCCTTTCTGCATCTCCTGGTTTCCCTTCCCCCTAAGTCTCTCAGCTCTCGCCACCACAGCCTCCCCACTAATGTTCAACACAAGAGTGAGCACACTTGAGGGCTGGGCCTTCACACCTGCTGTTTTCACCAGCAGGGCCTTTCACCCCAGGCGATTCCTCCTATCTGCTGGCTTCCCCACTCTGCTTGGGTCTCTGTTCAGATGTCACCTTATCACAGGGATCCTTCCAGACTGAAGATTACTGGGTCTTTATCATTGTATGACCAATATTCCCTCCGGAGCCTTAACCTTTTACCATACATTTTTATTTTTTATTTTTTAGCACTCCTCACCACCTGACATGATGTAACCTTATGTATGTGGCCTTCTGTGGGAAGGCCATGCTGCCTATAAAACCAAGCTTCTGGGGGATTTTGATCCTCTGGCTTCCCTTACTTCAGGCACATCACTCCAATCCTCCATCTTCACGTTGCATTTTCCCCGTGTGCTGGGTACATGAGGCTGTCTTATGAGGACTCTATGTGGTCACCCTACTCCATTATAACCCCACCTAACTTAGCTAAGCACATCTACCTTCTAAATAATGCCACATTTGAGATATGAGGTTGAGACTCTGGTTTGGACACTAAATGGGTGTTTTCTCAAACACCATCAAATTCCTGGTCACTAACCATTGAATTCCACTCTGAGACTATCCAGAGTTAGAGGCAATCCTGTAAGACCTCCCTCCGTTCAGATGCTAACACTTTACAAAGTGTTCTCTTTTCAATTACGGTGTTATTGTTATGGGTATAACTCAAGAACAGCCATGAGGTGAGGAATGAGGACAGGGATGAAATGGTCTGGAGCAGCCCTCTCTGGACCACCACTGACCAGCACCTAAATGTGGTCGCCAGTCCAGAATCTCTTCAAATCCTCTTCCTGCGGTTCTGGAGTTGTCTGTCGCCCCTTAATCTCTGGAGATCAGAGATTGGGCTGAAAGGTTTCTCTCTTCGCATTTGGTCTTTCTGGTGAGCAACACCCAAATGTGACGGGATCTTGCTGCTCCCTTATGAGCCATCTCAATAGCATGAGCTTAGACACAGTAGAAAAAAAATATTCCATGAATAACAAAGAAAAGTACTCTTATTACTTGGGAAATTTCAAGGGCAGCAGAGCTCTGTGGCTGGCACTGAACTGGGACCAACGATCATATATACTTTATGTGGTATCACTGACATCAACATTGATCCCTGCCTGGAGAGGGACACAGTTCCACCTATGACAGTGACCTGAGCAAGACACTTGAACTTACTCAGCCTGTTGTTTGTTTGTTTTGTATCCCTGGAAAGAGATCTAATAAGTGAAAATTAGTTGGGTTGGAATAGGGATTTGTACATTATTTTAGCCAAGCTAAAGTTTTCATTTCATCAACAGCTGTGCACTGAGCAGCCCCTATGTGGCCACATCCTGGGAACCAGGACATTTAGAAAAGATAGATCTGGGGCTGAGGATGTAGTTCAGGGGTGGAGTGTTTGTTTGGTATGCACAATGTCCTCGGACCCATCTTAGCAGAGGGCAGAGAAGGCCCACGTGGGCTGGGAGATGACTCCATGGACGAAATCTTTCAGCACACCTGATGACCTGAGCTCAGCTTCCAAACCCGCCTTAAAAAGCCGCGAACACATGGGCACACATCGGCACACGTTGATAACCCAAGCAGTCCTATGGGAAATGGTAGGAGGGGACCGGAGACCGTGCAGCCGCAGAAAGGGGGTGGGGCAGACTACTGTCTTAAAACACAGTAGGAAAGGTAGAATGGGTGACTTAAAAATCACCCTCCGACCCCCAGATGTGTGCGGCAGCATGTGAACCTATGAAAACACACACACACACACACACACACACACACACACACACACACACACACTCACACTAAACTCGAAAGAAAACAAAAGATCCAGGCTTGCCCTTGAATCAGTCTCGCAGTGACGAAAGGCATGACTATTTCAAAAGCAATGAGGGCCATAGAGATGGCTCAGTCAAGAACCAGCACGCGCTGCTCTTCCAGAGGACGCACGTTCAGTTCCCAGCACCAGTTTCAGGTGGCTCACAGCACTCTACAACTCCAGCCCCAGGGGATCTGACCCTCTAGGTCTCAGAGTGCACCTACACTCACATACACATACTCACATGTAGACATACACACCCACACACACGATTTAAAAAATGTAAAGGAAAAATAAGCAACATCCATGTTTGTATTTAAAAAAAAATCAATATTTTTTTTCTGGTTTTTCTAGACAGGGTTTCCCTGTGTAGCCCTGGCTGTCCTGGAACTCACTCTGTAGATCAGGCTGGCCTTGAACTCACAGAGATCCACCTGCCTCTGTCTCCGGAGTGCTGGAATTAAAGGTGTGTATACCGGGGCTGGAGAGATGGCTCAGAGGTTAAGAGCACCGACTGCTCTTCCAGAGGCCCTGAGTTCAATTCCCAGCACCCACATGGTGGCTTACAACCATCTGTAATGAGATCTGGCACCCTCTTTCATATATAGTCAATAAATCTAAAAAAAAAAAAAAAAAAAATTAAAGGTGTGTACACCATCTCCTGGCAAAAACCAACATTTTAAGGGGAACAAAAGTTACAAAGAGAACTGAGCCAGGAAGTTGGGAGCCTTTTTCCTTCGAACGCAGCTGAATCCAGAATGTGGGGAGTTAGAACAGTGGCATTGGGACCCGACTGCCTGTGTTAGAATTCTCCCATTTTCACGTCATTAGCTATGAACTGGGGCAGGTGGCTCAGTGTTAGTGCTCCTCAGTGTCTGCATCCTTCAGACTAATATTACCACCCAACTCCTAGGGTTGTTTTC